CCCCAAAACCCCAAAACCCCAAAACCCCGAAATATAATAACCATGTTGAAAAATGGTAGAACATATTATACCCAAAAATTGCATGAATAATCTCTAAAACTCATAATTAGGCCACCTAGCATCTAGATATCACTGAAAATAACTACTAGAGGGCTAAATCCCTTTTTAGATCTTTAAAAGTGACTTTATAAGCTTCAAAAATTTGAATGAAATTGTATGGAGAGAACTCCAAATATGAAAAATTCATATCCTAAATTTCTTATGTGCGTCCTAAGATTTGGCAATGATTTAATAATTTGGTGAAATGCATGTGAGATTTAGGAAATCTACAGTAAAAACTCAAGAAGTATTTTATAAAATTAACTTTTTGGGAACCAGGTTGACAGAAATTCTCATTAAGTGTAAAAACTAGATAATTTACTAAGTAGAAATTATTAAATCTTGGAGTTGGCCTCTGAAAGTTCAAAAATATCTGTCTCGGTCTGGTCTATATATGCAATGATTATTTGAACACCAAATAATTAAGAATATTTTGTCTGAGACTAACATGAATTTAACCTACCTAGTCAACGAGGGTTCTCTAAAGAATACCTCTTGCTTGCTGGTGGCAAGATTATTCCAGAGATGTCCTTACTAAAACTATACTCTGAGATTAAGTTGTAGCCTTCAAGGTCACCCTGAATAAGTGGTTTATTCGATACTGGTGGAAGTCTCTTTTTCTTTAATGGAGTCTTCGGAGGTACCTTCATTATCGGCTTCTGGTATGACTGAGAAGCAGAAGGAGAGCAGTCCTGCTTTGCAACAGAGTTTAATCGACGTTCTAAAGCAGATGGCTTAAAACAGTCCTTCATCCTATTTGAATAATTTCATGGAGATCACTCATGAAATATTGAATGAGGATCTGGGTTGATAAGCGTGATGCTATCGATCAATTCATTCTTGTTATAATTTCCCTAGATATTAATAGTCAACACATTGTGTAAGTCCCAAAAGAAATAGTACTTTGGGAAATAAGGAATTTTATAACAATTCTGGAAGTCTTAGCCTAAAACTTTAATGTTTTTGGGTGAGAAAACTAAACTTCAAAAGGCCAGTCCTTTTTCCTAACTGAATTTTATTTCCACTCAAATAAACTAAGACATTAGGCTAAGTAGCCACCAAGTGATGGTTTTAGGTAATTCTGAACCAATTATTTTCTCAAATATCCAAATAATTTTTCAATGAAAAGGATAAGTATGTCTCTACAATCATCGTGATAAAGCTTCCTGGAGTACTTGTATCTACACAAGTAACTTGCAAGAAATCGTCTTACTTCAAAGCAGTGATACCAAGTTGTTACAACAAAATGTATAAATATTAGAACTTTGATAATACTCATAATAATATTCGCAATCATTATTATTACTTACGAAGGTCTCTTTTGTTTCAATCCCTGAAAATTTCACTCCCTTGGAAATATCTTTTAACAAGCCACTACTGCTCTTCTTAGGACTCCTATCTAGAGACTGGGACGATGAACAAGATGTAGGGAGATTTTGGGCCCAAGAGACCTCTTTATTTCCTATATAGTATGATTAATATTCGATCCTGTAATCTGTTATTCAAAATTAATAAGTCAGAACCGAAATAAACCTACTGAAGAGACTTGCCACCGAACTGAGTATATTTCTTGATCTGTTTGGTTCCTTTGATCCCAGAGTTCCTCTTCGCTTGCTGATCTCTCGCCTTGTGTTCTGTTGCTGTGGAGGCTTGATTACTTTCCGTTTGGTTCTTTTTTGATAGCTCCTTGGATGAAACAATTCTAAATCGGCTATCTCCACTTTTAAGGTTATATGTCATTAGCTTTCTCATCTTCTCGCTAGGATTTGACTTCAACCCGAATGATAAAGTTGAGCCTGGTTTGAACTGAATAATTTCTGATTTCCTAAAATTGACCCTTTTCTTATTTCCCATATTTTTGGAAAAATTTTGAATCTTCTCAGAATCTGTGCTCTGCTTAAGGTTTCAACTAGTTTCTAGATATTAGTTAAAACTCCTGAAATTTTGGGGAACTCCAGCTTATTTCAGCTGGTATAACACCCTCCAAAGATGATGAAAGAAATGTCTGTGAAAATGATATTATCATAATAGAGCCTTATCCTACCTGAATTGTGGGACCTATCGAATGGCTCAGGCTTCAATTTGAACTTGCTCAGTTTCTTGTTGAAAGAAACTACTTCATCAGATCTCCTTTGTCTTGATTTCCTAGCTCTGGTAAGTAATTTATCCTTAATGATTTTCTGAAGGGTCTTCTTAGTAGTAGTTTTACTCTTTAAAATTGTCTTTCTCTTCGTATCATTAGTGTCAATAGTTGATGTCCGAAATGAGTCTCTTTCCGCCATTGGAGAAGCAGAAGCTTCTCTAATTTTTAGAGAGGAGCCAGCTGTGCTGCCTTTAATTATGAGAAATTTATTTCCATTTATCTCAGAGCGTTGGTGAAGCGACTTCATTCCCTTCTTTATGTCCTTCTGGGCTTTGATCATCTTCAAGCTAAATAAGGTTTAACTCATCCGAGTTTTCACAATTGAAATCCAAGGAATAGTCTGGATAAAGCTCTTACTTTCTTGATGCAATTTTCAAGTGAGTGGCAACTGAGTTACTTGATTTCTTTTTGTTTAATACTCTAATTTTCCTTCTGTGCTTTTTTTCCATTATCAATTTGCTAAACTAATAACTAAGAAAATAATTATTTTGCAATCGTTGAGTTTACCAAAGGGGTTTTGGGGTTTTGGGGTTTTGGGGTTTTGGGG